GGAATAAACCATAAACCTGGTTTAGGGGGTGTAAAGAACCAGACACGGTAGGATTTGATGACAGACTGATTCGCATGCCAAATACACGGGGAACAACGGAATTGATCTGCTAGACTGAGCGCTAAAATTGAATGGTTTTTGTATGAAAGCTATGGAGTATTTCAATTGTTTTTATATCATGAGTTCGTGGTGTAAATAAGGAGTGAACTGAAAAGCTGGGAAGCACTGAACAGCTTTTTCTACCTGGTTGGTTGAACAAGGACCGGTACTCACAACGAACTCACAAAGATGGGTTTTATTATATTGTGCATATTTAAAATGATAAACTGTCCGGTCGACGGCCCGGTGACGAAGTGGTTGGTATGCTTGCATTCTACATGAGAGGTTCCGGGGTGCGATTTCCAGAGTGGTTTCTATCGATATCATAGGCGTAAAGCTGTAAATTTTTCCTTGTGGAGAATCTTTAAATTTATGGAAATCTATCCACATTTATCAAATATGTTTAAAACTCTACAATTTTGTAGTAAAAATAACAAAAATACGTTTTTTTGCCTTCATTATCATTTACAGTCTATTTCGACGGAGTGGGAAATTAACTTTAGGAATTTGCTTTTTTCATGATGCTAAAGTATAAAATATCTCATTATTTTATTTGACAGATTTGAAGTTTTTATGTCGATTGTGAAAAGTCCAATAACCTCACTGGGATTGGAACCCACGCATTAATAATTTATCACGTGTCCCTTTCACAGATAAGATTTTTCTCTTTATACAGGAATATTATTGTACCTTTAGATGAAATCCAACATTCAAGACATATTTCATAAAATAGACAGAAGTAATCTGGTGTAAAAACTGAATTTGTGTGTGTGAGAGAGAGGGTAATGTTAGCCGTAAAAAGCTTCACCACCATGGAAACCCGTATGCTGTAANCAACTGGATTAGCACGAGCCGTGACTAACTATGCGTGTGGCAGCAGTGATCCACGGGTAGAACCCTACGACCCAGCGCGATAGTGGAGGTACACTGGTGCGCTCGAATGCGGTACCCCAAGCAATTCTTTTTAATTTTAATTTTACTGCCTCTTTATTGAATATACAATGATAAAATTTCCAGGAAGGGGGAAGCGGCCAATCAAAGGGTTGCCATGGAGAAATTCAGGCGGTGGTGGTGGGGTTCGAACACACGTCCCCCGAAATGATAATTAGGTGAGGTTACCAACGGGCCACCACCGTCCCAACAGAACCGGAACGAGACGCCCCACAAAGTAGTACGATCCTCCAAAACTCGACCAAAGAGAACACGGAAGACAGACCTTCAGACAAAGTTGTTTATTCCGCTCGACCGTAAAAGGTGAAGAGAGTGGACAGCTCATCTGTTTATATACAGTTCGGGGATCGGCCATCAATGACCTTGCTAAGTAGCTTGAAAGTAGTGAGTAACGGGAAAATAGACCAATGGGGATCAAGCATGGCCGATGGTGTGGTATGAGTCCTTTTTGGCGGGAAGATCTGGAAATTCAAATTATATAAAACTAAATAGAAAAATAGGGGAAAATAGAGGAAAATAGTCACTTTTATAGAGAAAAATGGTCTTTTCCCTATCACCGTATCTGTGGCAACAGGCTGGCACTGAACAATGTTAGTGTTGGAGATTCATTCCGTCATACCACAACGACATAGACTCGGGATTTAAAACAGCTCTCTAACAAACAGACTCCGTAAATGAGACGAAAGAGGGGGGAGAGAGAATTTTACAATATGCAACCGTCTTTCCCCCTGCCCAGTTTGTNTATCCAAGATATCGGATATCACTACGTACTACTACTACTACTACATGGATGATAAAATTCACAACCCAAAAGATTTTTTTTTTAATCCAACCAAATATGAACTTTATAATCAGAAGCTTTTAGTAATAGGCTCCGTTTAGAAAAGACCATTTCATTCTCATTCAACACTGACCTCTATCTGAACATCCACCTCCCCCTCCCCCACGCCCAATTCCCTTCCCATATGAATGCGCGCACATTTTGTCAGAACGTGGCGAACGTCACGGTAAGAAAATGCGTATCCAATCACAAGAGTTCAATCCGTCTGGGATAAAACATTCCCTTTCCCTAAATGGTCGATGGTTATCGCCAAGTCATGATATCTACCACCCTCACGATGGATCTAATCCCGCAGACGACGAAGAGGACGAAGGAGATATGGATACAAGGCATCCAAGACTATTTATGGATCACGAAACCGGTTCGTCTGTGATCAATTACAACGGGGAATCGTATCACATGTTACTTGTACCAACCGGTCTACCCGGTGGACTAGAAACCCTGGCCGGGGTTCGATTTGGCCTATTGCGTACGTGGTTATATGCTCAGTCTGTGATGAAACATTCCTCACCGTCCTCCGGTGGCCGTTCCACTGGGAACGGGAACGGGAACAACCACACCAGCACCAATCCAGCCGGGAATAATAACAGTAACAACACGATTGTTCTCAAACCGGAACTACTGTCGGAGAAGACAGTGACCGATAGTGAGAACGCAAACGATCCGAACCAGACCTACAACAATTCCGGGCGAGCTATGGAACCAGATACTGTATTGCATCAGTTGTTGGCAATTGAATCCCAACTGGCTCGTGCGATGTGAGTTGAATAGCAGCATTTAGTGGAGAAAGATTTCGACTCTATTCTATTGTTGTTGTTGTTGTTGTTGTTGTTGTTGTTTTTGTTGTCGCTGTTTCGGGGCCCATCGATGCACAGAGCCTTGTTAGATGACAAGATTCACGGCACGGCTTACCAGCGGTTTACCAGCCCAAAGACATTGATGCGGAGGCTGATCTAAGCACAACCGAGATTTAGTTGAAACCATTTTCGATTTCCCATTTCCGGCTGTAATCATGCTTGCCTATTCCTTATGCTGAGAACACATAGAATCACGCATAGAAGTTGTTGTCGTGTGATGGAAATGTTTGTGATAACCGACAAAGAGCATTAGATAGCTACTTCGTCCTGTTTGGGACTCGTTAGCAGTGCGTACCTTTTGTGTTCCTGTAAGAACTCGAACCGCGAACCTTCGGGTTGGGATTGCAAACCCCTACCATTGAGTTACACAATCGACGGGTATCACTTTGTGCGCCTAGCTCAATCAATTTATACGGTGAATGCTTGGAGTAGCCCAATCGGTTTTCCACAAGCACTAGACATTGTTGATGATCTTGGATAGGGTTTCACTCCTTCAGAGATCGTTAATTCCCCACGAGTTGAATGTATTTAAATGCGATAGAAATGTTTGAGATAACCGACAAAGATGACCGTCGACCGTGTTTCTCAGGGGTAAGGGTTTGAAGTCCTAACCCGAAGAGTCGCTGTTCGAGTTTTGGCAGGGACACAAAAAACATTCATTGCTGACGAGTCCCAAATAGGACGAAACAGCTATCACAAACATGTCCATCGCATTTTAATGCATTTTCCCCGTGGAGAATTAACCATCTCTCTAGGGAGTGAAACCCACATCCAAGACCATCAAGAGTGCCTGCTATTTCTGACCAATCGGATCGGCTAATCCAAGCATTTACCGTGTAAATTGTTGTAATGTGTGTTACAGTTTTTTCACTAAACCAACAAGACATTTCATTAGAAACTATTTCTGCCTCGGTATTCAACTCAACAGTTCAACCAGATTGACGAAGAGCATGCAACAAAATCATCATTTTCATGGATTGCTGTTTTCTTTATGTATTGCTTGTGGGCTCCTAACCGTGACACACACACACACGGACTGTTGAGGCTGTCGAACCACGGCTAACTAGCAGTGCAATCTTCACGGTTCCTTTTTGCCTGTACGCAGTGAGGCGGTTTAAAAATCGGTGACAACTTCTCACTCATTTCCATTCTATCTGGGCAGAATTGGTGGGACAGAAATAATTGATAAATAATGACAAACAATGAACAGAAAATTTGACAATTTCGGAGCACTACTCCAGAACAGTTCTGGTCGATTGGAAACCGGTTATCAATAGTGCCTATCTGGAACAAATGTACCTTGGAGAATATTTTCTATTTAACAACCCGGTTCATGCACATCATTAACCAAGATAAACAACAGAGTATGACTGATTTTCCTTCCCGTATTTTGTTTACAAACAGCCGTGAACGCATCTTCCCGTCCGGTGCTTGCCCGGGCCCATATACATACAGCGGTGAGTCTACAGACTCGCAGCCCAATTCAAACGGCGCGGTAGTTGGCCTGAGTCTTGGTTCGGTGGACGAAACTGGACATCCGGGTCACGAATTCTCGACCGCAACCAATGTGGGCCCACTGTCCAGTGATTCGGGTGTCTCCAGTGATGCGATCCAACACCACGCTCCCCTACTCATGAATGGTAACTTTCCCTCGGTTTCTCTGGCCCATCATCGTACGGGTCTCTATCAGGGCTCAGTCACACAAACAGCTACGGTTTACGATACGGACTACGGCAATCGATTTCCGAATCCCCCAATCAGTCAGCTCTATCCGTCCCATCTGATGAACAATACTCATCTGCGCAATTCCATAGGCCTATCCGGTTACTTCCCCGAAATCACGGAGACCTATCCTGTGCTTCAACCGATATCTCATTCCCAAGCCACATCTCCAACATCCGATCCCGCGGTGGTATCATCCGGACCAAACTCTATTACGGTCGATCATGTGGACTCGCTCAAAGTGACTACCACGACGACCAGCTCGGCACAGGCACGTGGTGCACGCGCGGAAACAAACCCTCTGCCTACCAGTTTGAGTGCGTTCACATCCACCGCATTCTATTCGCCCTCGTATTTCGGGAATCGGACAAATGGAAATTCGGACCAAGTGACAAATCCGACCAGCCTATTGGATCCGTTTTCCCGTGGACATTTGTCTGCCGGTGGTGGTGGTGGTGTGAGCACAGTCACTAATGGTGTCTCTGCGGGCCTATGCTTTTATCCAACCGCTATGGGCACGACCACTTTGTCCGAATCACTTCTCATTCCGGAGGAAGTGATTTCCACCTATTTAGATCGAGAAAAGGGTTACGACGAGGCGGACGGTACGCATCACCCGGCTCTGCTAAGTCGAAACCAGGTATGTTCCCACTCTGTTTTCCCCCTCTCTCATATCATTTTGAATCAGTTATTTTTTCATTCTACTGACAAATCCGTTTTTAATTTGTTTTCCAGGAAGTATCATAAACTGAATAAGGTGTGCGTGAGTCTGTGTGTGTGTGTATGCGTGTGTGTCTGTTAGTAACAATCAAGAAGATTGCATCATATGTGCCACTTTCTTTGTCTATCTCATTGTGATTATTGTTCTTACACGTGTGAGTGCGTGCGTACCTGTGTGTGTGTGTTTGAACGCACACACAAGGCGAACTGGCTACTGGCTGCTTTTGTCCGTCTAACCTCTATGTGGTTCGTTGTGCATGGCGATATATGGGCATAGTTTCACTCACCCAGTTGTTGTCCTCCTTTGCCAAACAACCCCAGTCTCAAAGGAGTAATGGGGGATTTGCTTCAATTTCAAAGGTGAATTCGCCGTGTATATAGCAAATGAAGAATGAACTGGAAAACTAGGAAGCACTGGACAGCTGTTTCGATCTGGTTGGGTCTTATCAGCAGTGCGAATCTACCGACCCAACTGGGGATCGAACCCGGGACCTGATGGGCAGAACGCAAGCATGCTATCCACTCGGCCTCCGGGTAGCTGGTCAGACCGTTTTTATTTTCCATTTACACGATATAGCACAACCCAGTCTCCGTGAGCCATTGCGATTGGCAGAAAGGATAAGATAGAAAAACGTTCGTTCTATAAGGCGAATGGGGTCCCAGTAATCAACTAACCTAGGGATACGAACATCTGATATAGACGAATCGTTCCGAATATCCGAGACCTGAAAACTGTTAGGGGTTTATACTTTCTGTACGGATGATCGATCCCAGTGTGAGCTATAATTAATAAAACATTAAGTAACCTATCCCAAGAGAGGAGGATCTCGTTTCCCACTGTTATTCTCGAAATGAGATCACGTGATTCACCGGATATAAAGCGAATCAGACGCCATGAGGCCTTGACAACCGGATTTTAATCCGCATCGCTTTGTTGCTTCACTTTGGATTTCTGACCTTGGTCATTGCTAAATGACGCGCGAGACTAATTACAATCGCTCTCAGGCTTTTCCAATGAATATAAGTGTAAGTTATTCACTCGACAAGGTCCTGGAAATGTAATCAATTGCATTGGTTCAATACACTAAACGTAGGTTCCTCATACAAATTCCACAGGATTGTCTACCGTAACTATCTGCTCCGTTCTGCTCTGCTCTGCTCCGCTCTGCTCTATGTACTGTGTCGTTTGTTTTGTGTTTCACTATCTGTATAACATTGAACTCACCCGTGCAATGAATGTGCCAGCTTGGAATCATGCTTTAGCTGACCCAATCCTTCTTTCTGTTTCTGTCGTTTTCAGGATCGACATAGCCCTTCGTACGGTTCATCTTCCCCACAGTCACCTGGGTCATCTAGCTGTGATCAGATGATCCTTTTAGAAGTCTAGCACACGAAGCAGACTAGGACAATACAGATGAAAACAGACCACTGCAGACATTCAACCATACACATAGTCTGTTCCTCAGCGTTGCTTCCATCACACTCCATTCGTTCCACACTCAGCAACCTGTGTATATTCTGGACAAGTCCTTCTCACTCGACGCATGGCTTTCCTTTCCAACCGCGAAATCACGTGATCCATTTTTATTCTTCCACGATTTATTGACCTTCTCATTCACAAATGCACTTTGTAATAATTCGTCCCCCACCCATCCATCCATACGACTTTGCTCTCTGTACACCTGTTCCACTTCACATTCCGTTTATTTTGTGTAGCCAAATTGTTCATCCGTATCTTAGCACAACAAGCACACACACACACACACGATGCCACCGCCCGACTCAACGCGCCACAGCTTATTTTTTTATCACTTTCCGCTTACTTTTTTGCATTCTATCCAACTGAACCACGCCGCTCATCAAATTCACTTTTCTATCCATCTTTGTTTGCTTCGTCTCCTCTGTCCACATTCAATCGTATACACTTATTTAGAGGCAGTCTAATGCATGTTGTATTTTTCATTGGGCCCAGAAAACCGACCAACCATCCGATCATTGATCACCAATATTGCCCGGTCCGAATTCGCTGACCCCCCGTCCCCACCNTCACCGTTTTGTCACGCTAAGTCATTCTTATTAGTTATTTTGTTTTCTTTTTGAAAGAAGCCATTTGTTATGCTTTGTAAACAGCTTTTATTAAATACAGCAAGAAGTTTTCCATTATTTTTGTGATTTTGAGATAATTTAAGAATGTGGTTTTGAATTGCGGGTTCTTTTTCTGGAAAAAATTATTTGTTCCCCGCAGAGGGTTCACCAGTTTAATCGTTGAAATCGTCCGGTACACTTTGAGCGCATGGAATATGCATCCACGTTCAATCACACCAATTCTCCTCGAGGCAGAGCCGAACAGAGGATCTCCTCACGAGAAGGCAGTGTGTAGGACTTCCTCAGCAGAGGCTATTTGAGACGCTTGGTCATATGGGAGCATTTCGCTAGGTGCAAGCGAAGGGTGACCAGCCGCAGCCTAGGCACCCACCCCCGACCATACTAAGGCTTTTGGGGGCAGTGCAATATTATGAAGAACGTCAGACATAACTGCAGTCCTTCTTTCTAACACTGCTTTTCGATACACCTTAAATTAGATCGTTTAATCTTCATTCATAATGTAATAGACTTGTTGATTGCGTTGCTAATCGCGGGGATTATTGTATGTAACACTGTAAATGAAAAGAGCTGAAAATTCTTTCTACGGTTTCATACGTTGCTTACACTTCACGAAGCGTCCGACTTGAAAGACGATCGATCGATTGATCGATCACGAAAGGTCAAGAGACAGATCACAAGCACAAAAACTGATTGGCTCATGGAAGTTTGATCTGTCTGATTAGTTAGTAGAATGATCATCCGGTCGAGTTATTGTATTAGATTGCGATGACTTACACAGGCATCCATGCCAAGATTTCGGCCAATATGGCGATGATCGACATAGTTTACCAGCATAGATTTACTCATGAGGGGATCATCGTAGCGATGAGTTCTATGCATGTGGCGGTGCGTACCAAAATGATGACTGCAGAGTTTCAGTGGATACACAAGACAAAAAACCCATTGAGACTGGGAAAGGTCAGGCGGTGTTGGTGACGTCCTATCGGGATGATACGTAATTTGAGAACATCACCACACATTTTAGAAGCATTTCCAGGAATTCCAGGTTAATGTGAAAATGTTTACACTTGTGATAAACAGTAAGCAAACAAAGTCGTACCCGACCCGATTGGAGATGACTTGATATAGAACAACACATGTTTAAAGATCTTGGTTAGAGGGAGGAAGGTTAGATCAGTGATAAAAGTTGAAAACAAGTTGGGAGAAAACTTGGGTTCCCCAGAGGTCTCTTGACTAATTAGGTAACAGTTCCAGCTCATTTCGCCTTGATTTTATCCTCTGATTCCCTCCAAATCAATAGTCATTCAACCACCCGCGATAACGCAAAGTGAAAAATGTGTGAATTATCGTGATTTTTGGAGAAGCGATTGTTGAACGGAATAGAAAGCTGAACACTAATCAAGGAAATTACAGCAAACGGATTTTTGTGAACTATCTTAAGATGTACAAATAGAATTTATGAATGTGCGGACAATCTCTAACGTACACCTGTTTGGCTTATCCGCATATGGAGAGAACTCACTGGATGGCATGTCACAATGGATAATGTGCGGCCTTCGGTCAGTTTCAGTTTGAACAACCATTAAGCATGCACTGCCATGAGTCGCTTTTGGTTGCTGTCTTTTGGTTACCCATTTGGATGAACAACAGGACGTTTGAAAGTAGGATCAAAGAGAAAATTGAGAAGTTCAGTGAACTAATGATGCGAAGAAATTGAGGAGATGCATGAACGCTACTGTTTAACGACATCCGGCCATATCACTCAGTGTCTCTAACCATCGGTTACGACCATCTGGAGGTCCCTAACCAGGGGACCCTAAGGGACCTCTATGACCCAGTTCTATGGTTAGGTTTTCATATCCTCGTGCCCGGTCTTGACTAGACCACCCTTGGCTTTTTTCACCCACTATCTACCTCGGCAAACATCGTTCGCCGTGGCAACCTATTTGGTGACATGCGCAACATATGCCCCAAACAACGTAATCGGTAGAGGTCGACTATTTGCTTCAGTGGGCAACCGCGATCGCCTAAAACTCTACGCCAAACCTCAGTATTGCTCATCTGGCTGTCCCACCAGATTCGTGTAATGCTGCGTCGGCAGCGGTGTTCAAACACCGACAGTCTATCTTTATCCTGTTTTCTTAATGGCCAAGTTTCTGCACCGTATAGCAGGACTGGCCGAACTGTCGCGGCATACACTCGATCCTTCACAGACAGCCGGATGTCGCGACGGCGCCACAGATGTCTGAAGTTAGCAAATGCCAACCGAGTCATTGGCATGCGAGCTGACACTTCATCCGTGATGCGTCCACCGGATGAGATGTAGCTGCCCAAATAACAAAACTTATCTACTTGCTCTATTACTTCCCCAGTTAGAGTCAGAATAGGTGCTGGACCAACCCAGTCTTGTAGTAACATTTTATACTTTGAAGGTGCAAAACGCATACCGAACATGGCTACACGAGCACTCAAACCATCCTTGCACGAGGATAGGGCTTTTTCCATAATCAAATATGTAATAAAGTGCTGCAGAGTTTAGCGAAGAGTGAAAATGTGGTCAATACAACGTCGATCAGGTCTACAACCATTCTGGCTCTCACACATGCACTCTTCAAGTGCGGCAGACAATCGACGGAGTATGACCTCAGCGAGAATTTTATCACTCCCAACAGTAAGTTAAGGTCCTAACAAATTCCAAGAATAAATGTGTGCGGGGAGAGGAGGAGGGGTGGGAGAGGTTTAATCAGGTGAGACTGATAGACCCAGATACAACAAACAGTTACCGCATTGGGGATGCCACCTCGATTGGTGATCAAATGTCTGCAATACAATTAATTGCCAAGTTCGGCGAACAACTGAACATCAATTTATACTAACCGAGCAACAACAACAACAACAACAACAACAACAACAACAACAACAACAACAACAACAACAACAACAACAACAACAAC